ACATTTCTAAATAGGCGGTTACGTGTTACCCGAGGCACATCTGTATCCCATCGAAGGCTTATGCAAGTTGTATAACGAATTAATTTCGCTCGGCGCATTACGTCCGGCAAAGGGAAAATATAATCGAACGAGTTCTGCGAACGCTCGAAGCGTGCTCTTACCTCGGTCGTCGAGTTTGCAGTGATTAATAGGTAGGTATGCTTGAAATACTTTCGCGACGAAGCCGCCATCGTTGTTACAGTTTTCAACGATAAAAAAGAATCAACACGACGCCGTATCTCTTTCGGCGCGAACGGGAGACTCGACAAACAATAACAGATCCCTGGCGACCTCGCCGGTCGGGCGCGGAACCATGAATCATCGATACATGACGAATCTTGCGAACCACGAAAACTCTGCCCGAGCGTCTCGCGACCAGCGATATTTGATTATTTGACCCGATTACGATTCGACTCGGCGGATAACAAGTCCGCGGGAAGGCTGCGCGTCGACCAGGCGAAATTGAACACCGGATTAGCGTGTTTACATGAAACGCTCGTCGACAATAAACGCCGCGCAGTGGGGCCAGATTGAAAATTTAACGGTTCGAATTTTATACAAAAATTGAAACAATCGTCCTGGATTAAATATGGAAAACTGACGTGTCAGTGAACGTATTAACGACCACACATTTTATTTAACCTAATACTTCGTACCACGCTATTCGTACGCCGCGAATATCTAGATATTTGATCGACGCATAAAACGTCCGAATATAGAGAAAGTTCGATAAGAAGTCTCGGGACCTTATTTCAAAGCGATGAATCTCGGTGGCATGCCGAAAGATGCTAAGTCGGCAACGAAGATATTCTTCCGAACCGCGAGAGGACCTAAAAAAAACTCGGCTGGTCAGTGACGGTGGTGCGGGACGACCTCCTTCGTCGAGTCGAACGACTTAACTTTCTCGAAGGATAACGCTTCTGCTAGTTTCCTTTCTCCGTGGACGGCCGCGGGAGATGAATTTACGCGGCGCCGCGACGAGGGAAACGTAAATATAAGCGACGACGCGCTCGCACGGGCCCAAGCCACGAGTGGGTTTCTAGTAAAAAGAAACAGAAGTGTCGCGACGTGAATACAGGTCACAACATCGCTGAATAAGCAACCGAGCGTACACCGCTGCTCTCCGTGTTCAGCAAATTACGTAAGGCCAGAACGGGAGCTCGTTTAAATACCGACACAATCAACGATGAATAAGTAAGTTACGTGCATGCGCCTCGCACACCGCCATAACGAAATAAGGAAAACGTGCACGACGTTCGTTCCATATTCGCGTTAAATTCGGCGAAAGTTACGCAATCCGGCATTCCGCTTGGCGCCGACGTCCTTTAGGACTTATCGCTAATCTTCGAACACAGTTTGCCACCATTTTTATCTAGATAACGAATAACTTTTTCTCCATGCGTCTCTCTAAATACAAACTTATTATACACAGTCATATACGTGTTTTTTATCATCTAAGAAACAATTGCAAACTATACTCCGTGTTGCCCTATTTTTGAAATCTCATTTCAAAATGATGTCCCGCTTGGATGCAAGCTTGTCATCGATAGACAATTGAATTTATTACCCTACGAAGTTACTCGGTATCTCACCGAGTTTCAATAACTGTGTTTTTAATTCTTTGCTTAAGTTCTTCGTACGAAGTCGCTCCCGTCGAGTAAACTTTTTGTTTTAAAGTTCCAGAAACGTAAAAATCGAGTGGTGTAATATCGCTTTTAACTCTCAAACAAAGCGTTTATTCGCAAACTTTATATAACGTTTCTTTCTCATTCTGACCTCTAAGTTAAGTACAGTTTGGCAGAAATATCACGAAACATCCTGTATAGTAATATGCTCTACCTTTGACTTTATAGTTTCTACGTATGTTGTTATTCGATTGATTAATTTGTATATAATTCGTACTAGTCTAAATAGCGAAGTACACCTGAATTAATGGCCGAAATGTTCATTATTATAAATAATAACTTTTGCATATATAATTTTTATTATAATGTTTTGAAATTTTTTAATTTTGTCGAAATATTTCACACCTTCTCGAAATTTTCTCGAAAGTGGGTAGGATTTCGGGGGTATGTCTAATGATAAAAAATGATTGCAATTGACCCCGCAACGGAAAATAATTTTTCCAGAACGATTTGAAATTTTTTAATTTCACCGAAAAATTGATCCACTTATTGAATTTTTTTCTCGAAACTGGTTAGGATTTTGAGGGTATGTCTAATGATTAAAAATGATTGTAATTGCCCCCCAACACCGAAAATAATTTTTCCTGAGCGATTTGAAATTTTTTAATTTCGTCGAATTTTTTTCTCGAAAAAGAGTAGGATTTCGAGAGTATATCTAATGATCAAAAATGATTGTAATTGACCCCCGGAACTAAAAATAATTTTTTCGAAATGATTTGAAATTTTTTAATAACTTTTTAACGAAGCCTCAGTCAAGAAATTGATATTCTTGATTTTCGTTTTATTTTGGCCTCTGGAATCTCCCGTTAAAATTTTTCCCAGGGTTGGCCGAGAACACCCTGTATATGGGACGACATTGAAACGTTTTGGAAAAGCTTATAGTCATCGGACGCGCGGTATAGCGTCTCCAATATTGTGCAGTCATTCGAACCCTGCGTTTCAGATTAGTAGGTCGTTAACATGCTTTATCGCGTCGAACGGAAGCTTGTTAACCAAGTCCGGCAAGAACGTCGAACTCGTGGAAAAACTAAGCACACACACACACACGCACACGCGCGCGTTTAAGTATTGCCACGATTGTCAACGTTACCTCAGAAATGCTAAATAGTGATTATTTAAATTCTTAACATTTACCCGCGCCTACTTTACAAAATCGACCTTATCGTCACGTTATATATTTATCAAACGGTATCTTTCGCTAACTTTCGATACTTATTTTATCGTATTAATTAATTTACGCGAAACAACGAGTAAAAGTAAACAAAATTCCTGTAACCCTATTTATTGTTTATCCGAAAAAAAATAAACACGTCAAACACTATTTTAATCTGACTTTTAATTATTAACGCATTGACTACCACTGACCCTGATATTTGATAATGGTGTACCCGTTATTTTACAGCATTCCTAATTAAAGTGGCGTCATTTATAATTTTTCAATTAATAGGAACGATCCAACGATATGGCAACGCGTTGTAAATTTATTATTTAACGAACAAATACTGTAACAAAATATTCTTTGAAAGAACAAAAGAGGCTACGGGTGCTTGGGAGGATTCATCAACACCATAAGAGCGAAACACGTGTTATATCGAATTAAAGGATGCGGGCTGTACGAAGACGCGTAAAACAGTGGCTCGTAGATATCTGGAGGTTCACGACTTGCACATAGAGATTTTAAATATAGGCCCATAAGTTCGATTAAATTGCCAAAAATGGGTCATGAACGAAAAAAAAGGTCACGAACCACTGGTATAAAAAACTCACTCGACGTTACGGGGACACTTGAACGGTTGAAAAAGTTGGGAACCAGCACGCGTTCGCTGTGTCACCCATAATCACGAACGACGATAGTTTTCAAAAAAGTATATCCGAATCCCTGGAAGATGCTAATTCGTAACACGAACGCAGCGTGATAATTTGCGAAAACGCGCGAGATGCGTGCCTAATTTATATCGCGGCTTGAGAAAATTTCCCGGTAATTGGGCGAAAGGTAGCGTCGTTGACGTACAGCGAAATAAATAGATACGTGGAGGAAGATGGATCGTCGACAGAAGAAGAGCCGGATACAAATGAATGATATTCTAGAAGCGTCTATCCAAATGGCGGTCAGCCACACGACATGTACACTTAGCAGAATAAATGATTTATATCGGAAACTATGCTGAATCGGGGCCACTTTGCTCTACCAGCGTATCCCTCGAACAGTAAATCAAATACTTTCGGTAAGGTGATTTATTAAAATGTAAGAGGAGTCACGCGATCCCGATCCGACGTCGGGATGCGCGCGAGCGTATACACCGGTGGTGGGTTGATTGAAAATTCAACGAGCGATTCTTCCTGTGTAAATAAAACAAAATTTCGAAGCACGGCCGCAAAGTGCTGCCATCTAACAATATTTCATAACAATTTTCATACTCGAACGATAATGTGTCAGAAAATTCGTCCCACGCTCGCACGTGCGCTTCCTAACAAAACGTGAACGAGACCGAGGTGTGTTTGTTGCACGGCCAGTTCGCTTAATGGAAATAATTGGTTTCGAATAAACTCGTGCTATTATTGTCACTGAAGATAACAAAACGGATAAGCCACTTAATTACCATATTAACATATTGTAATGGACTTGCAAATTATACGGATGACTGTTCTCGCATCCGTCGATCCGCACTGGGAAAACACGCCGAGAGAAATGCGAGGAGCGCGTGCATGCGACCATTTCCAACGGAAAGGCCGAAGACGTTGGCGAAGGTCAACGTCAAGATACGATTTCACAGTTCATTGGAAAGGAGAGCACTCGAGCGCTCGACGGAGATCGGTGTTCCGTGAAGCACAGACGAAAATTCAGTAGAACTTTCCGATGGTTGGAAAGTGGTTAGGGGTAAGAGAGGATACGATAATCGGGCCAGTGGTGAGGCGAGCGAAGGGCCGAATAAAAAGAAAGGCGCGTGGCTCGGTGCTGGCGCGGCGTCTCCCGCCATATCACACTAGTTTAGCATACTCGCACACCGAGTGTCATACACACGCACACGTAAAGGCCGTGGAACGGTTAAACGAAGAACTACGTATGCACCGTACGCTGGTACGCGCACGGACGGTAGATAGAAACGCATACGAATACACACGTACGAACCCGCGGAATTTTCTCCGGTGCGTGTGTGCACGCATGCACCGTGCACACCAGGGGCCGCGCGAGCGACGCACACGGCGTACACTGGGTTCTTCGGCGGCGCGATCTACGCGAGAAAAACGAGCCACGGCGAGGGCCACTCCACTAACCTGTCGGAGGCGATTCCCCTTATATTCCTCGGGCCACAGTACTCCTGGGTACTCGTGTATTTTCACCGGCTACACTGCGATCACCAAACTATATTCACTCTCTCACACGGCGTTCTTACAATGTGTCTCTTACGGGAGTATACGCGCGGCGCCTCGACTCTATATTCCGATTCACACGGCTGGGCTCTCCCGGCGTCCACGGGTGACTTCGAGTCTCCCGTGGAACGATACTCGCTCGGATACGGGCACTGGGGTCACGCGCGCCCGCCCGACGCCCCAGTTATTCGCGAAAATCCCTCGATTCGACGAAAAAATTGGTCGACAATGCGCGGAACTACGCTCGCGACTGTCTCCCTCGCTGGAGGAAAATGGCGGCCCCCGGCCATCCGAGTGACTCGCGCGCGCCACCGATACTCTCCGTCACCGGCCGAATGTACCCGAGGATAACCGATTCTTTCCGATTACGACGCTGCCGAACGGTTAAATATCGGCTGAATTCTTGCAAGACTTTTCAAAATTACCACGCGGAAACGTCTTATTTTCTTCTCCTTTGATACATCGCTGCTTATAATTTCCAATAATAAAATGGAAAATTTACTTTTAAGTATTATAAACACGATGAATTTCTTTACCAGACTATTCTTCAACCCTAATGCCCTATGTTTGTAGTGCTTACGTACAGTAACGATATTGTCCTTGTTTTCTTTTCTTTAGATACGTGTTGTTGACAGTACTTTGGAAAATTTTCTTTAAATTTACATTTAAACTTACTTGAATTAGATATCTTTTCAATCGTATACTTGTATAGTATGTTCTATGAAACGATGAAGTTAGATGTAAACAGAACTTGTCACGTGACCGAATTCTCATTGGTCCGTTATGTCGACACGATGCTATCGCCAGAATCTATCGTACGGTGGATCGAAAATCGAAAAGACACCATAAAAGATGAAAAAACTAATAACAGAGATTTTCTATTTCAAAAATCGTTTTAAAATTGTTTTAACCAAAATTTTGTATCAGACTTATAAATTAAAACTAACTGAAGACTATTCTGGAGAATTGAACGACAATTCTTTTGAACAATAGTTTTCAAAAATTCTGTCAAAACTTAAAAACCACTCCGTATTTGTAATGGACAATACATCTTATTACTGTAAAATAATGATAATGTACCAAATTTACTTCGTCGAAAATTGGTTAAAAGCTGAATTGCTTGCAATTGTTTACTACATTAAAAATATGTATGAAGTTTTGTTGACAAATATCTGCTTTGACGAAAATTGAATAGAAGCTAAATTAAACGTAATTATTAATAATGTTACAAATATGTATAAAGTACATATCGTCAATGAAGTGACAAGAAGTTATAATAAAATTATGCTTTGACCACTGCCGTATACTGTAAATTAAACCCAATTAAACAAATCTGGTTATACATTACAAATTATGTAGACTCCATCCATGGAGGTAGTAACTTCAATAACTGCAAACAAGAGAAGTAATTAATAAGTAAAAGAAAAGATTAAGACAAAGATTTGAGAACTTAAGACTTGATGACAATGATTCGTGCCGGATGATGATGGGTACCAATCTAGTTACCTTTATCTCTTTCATGATTCGCTAGATGGCGTTATTATCACATAATATGACGTAATTCACTAGATATACAATGTGCTGACAATCAAATCATTTTAAAAATCAACGTCGCTTATAAGCTATAGTCTTAACTAAAAAGAAAAATTATCTACAACAAAAATTGTTAAAATAAGCACATAATGTAACAAAAGAAAATATCAGAATGTGTACTTAAAATTGTAAGGTAGATCTTTTGTTGCTTATAATGTTGCAAGGTTTATTTGCTATCTTAAAATCGTAATTAAAAAATCAACTCTTGGAATAATAATCCCTTCAAACAACGTTTGTACCAGACGTTAATTTTACGACAGATAATCGATTCTTTAGTTGGCAACGAACAGTTGGATCTCATGATTCACTTTAAGATCATCCCTTATTTCTTTCATTAATGGAGCCATCTGGATTTATATTATAACACTAACGTTTTCATCATGCGTAAACAAACTGCTGACTAACTTTGTTAAAAGGGAACAAGAAATTTAACGACTGTTTAAAACAGTCGTGTGTCAAAACTGTCCTACTCTTGTATACTCGCATGCGATATTTTGGGCGAAAGGAGATGGATGACTATGATACGTGACTGCAAAGTATATTAGTTACGATATATTAGACGTAATTTTTTTCGGATTTTTAAATACGTCTTTACGCATACCTCGAAGATAACCAATATGTCAGATGTTAAAAGTCTCGAGCATCCAACATTAAAGGTACCGAATGCTTCTTAAATTCTGTTTTACATTTCTTACGACCGAATTATTTAAAATTATTTATGATTAGTCGAAGACGCGTTATTACCTATGATACGTACGATGATTATATACGAATATCATATTTTTTTAAATTTATAAATATTTTATTGTAATCGAAACGAAAAGAAAAGGAATAAATTAACACAATATTTTTAGGTTCCTTATGAACTCCTCAATAAAAAATTTCGTTCTGCACAAAAAACCTTAGATAGGGAAGTCTCGCATGTACAAGCAGCAGCTAATGAATTGTTAAAGGGTGATGGAGCAGGTGTTCCTGCTGGAGAAATAAGCAGACTACTGGGAGGAGTTGTAGCTAGGCTTCAGGTTCTGAAGAGAAAAGCAGAGGAGTCTATAGCAGAGGAATTACAAGCAGGAATGGTCTGCAAAAGACGATTAGACCATTTAAAGGAACATGCTAATACCGCACCGAGTGTTGTAAATCAATGGCGGCGACAGAGACTCGATAGAATGTTGGTAGAATATTTCCTTCGTAAAGGCTATTACAAAACTGCCACCAAGTTGGCAGACAGTAGCGAGCTTAGGGATTTAACAAACATAGGTATGTTGATTATTAATATGGTTCAATGGCTGAAAACACGAATATAATTCTATATCTTCGTCTATATTTCTAGACGTTTTTATGGTATCCAGAGAGGTCGAAAAGTCTTTGGCAAATCATGAGACTGCAAGATGCGTTGGGTGGTGCCATGATAATCGATCTAAATTAAGGAAATTAGGAAGTACTATGGAATTCAATTTGAGAGTACAGGAGTTTATAGAATTAGTGAGAGCCGATAGAAGACTCGATGCCGTTAAGCATGCCCGAAAATGTTTTGCTAATTATGATGATTATCAGTTGCAAGAAATTCAGTGTTGCATGGGACAGTTAGCTTTTCCAGCTAATACATCTCTCAGCCCGTATAAAGATTTACTAGACGAGAAACGGTAATTATTATTTTTTAAGGCATCACTGTAATACCGTATCTAAGTATATTTTTATTCTCGAGTTACGAATAAAATTTTATACGGGACTCGCAAGATGAACACTACGAATAACGAATAACTAATATCGTGATAAATTGTTCGAATAAAAACCTTCTATCTAGATTGACAGTGTTACACTGTTTATAGGTGGGATAGATTAATAGAACAGTTCAGACATGAAAATTATAGACTTTTCCAATTGGCAAGTCAAAGTGTCTTTACTGTGGCCCTACAAGCAGGTCTGTCAGCATTAAAGACACCTCAGTGTTACAGTGCAAATAAAGAAGGCAGAAATCCAAACTGTCCAGTATGTAATGAAGCACTTAACGAATTAGCTTCTCCACTGCCTTTCGCTCATTGTTCGCAGTCCAGGCTCGTTTGTAGTATTAGCGGTAAACCATTAAACGAGTATAATCAACCAATGATGATGCCAAACGGATACGTGTACGGGGAGCAAGTAAATTAAACCATTCGTTTTTCATAAAATACCCTTATTAAATTATACTTCCTTAAATTAACTTGTTACATTATATTCCAGGCGTTGGAGAAAATGGCTCAAGAAAATAATGGTACTGTGATTTGTCCAAAAACCAAAGAAGTGTTTCCGTATAAAAAAATAGAGAAAGTTTATGTTATGTAAAATTATCTGATTTAAACACAACTTGTACTATGTACAGTGCATCCTTATTTTATTCTAACTCTAAATATTTACTGTTTAATACCGTGTACCAATATTAACAAAGGGAATAACATCTATTTTTAAGGAAATATTGTTTTTGTAAATTTTATTTGTGATTACCTTCTAGAATAAAATACAGAGCTACGCGGGCAGATTATGTGTGTAACGGGACACGTACTAGTTTTTCAATATGAAACGGTGTGCAGATTATTATAATATAGTTGGTTATTAAATATGAAATCAGAATGGTCCTTATTCATTTATTTAACATCATCTCTACAATATATTAAACGGTCAAAACAATTCCATAGATTTACGTTTTAAGACGCATTTTTAACCATAAACTTTTGTAAGTATCTTACAGTGGTTTATATTTATACTATGCATGCCCAAAACATTTCGACATAATAATGGTAAGATTTATAACAACATTAATGTAACCTGATCGTCAACTTGTTACATAATTTATTGTAATACCATTTTTACGTAGAAACAGATGCATCGCTTGCATACCCTTTTTATAATAAATAACTTTGAAGTATGTATTTTACTGACGAATGCCTAATCTATATAATATATGATATGCATTAAGCAATTTTGGATGTAACATGTCCACGGCTGAATCAATATAAAAATATCCCCTCTATGCCTCTATCAGCTTTAAATTCAACGATCTTTTATTCATGGGTATCATGAAATTTAATTTATAATTTATTGTCTGAATTGCTTTATGCGGAGGATTGTCCTTCTAGGAATTCGGATTCTATGTTTTAGAATAAAATTTGTGGTCAACGTGGGATACAATATTTGAGGTAATTTAAGTAATTTAAGTCTTTTTTCCTTCATCAGCAAGATTTAAGTTCGTGAGTATACGATTACGATAACGAGTTTAGCGAAGTATAATTTGAAAATTTATAAGAGTATTGGTTATAATTATTTATGTATAAGTTGATAGAAATAGATGATAAACGGTATTATAAATGGTGAAACAGTATAATTTACAAGTTACCAAACGTATACGGAATGTTCCACCGGAAACAACACATCTAAGTATCTCGGTTACTTCTTCACGATACAGAAATATGTCTCTGGCATAATATAAATTCCAAACAATTCCAAACAATTAATACAAAACAATAAAAATTATTTTTTCGAATCAGCCATTTTCACATTTAAATGTATATCTTTTTTTTCTTGCATTGATATCCGCACGTTTTTCTTCAACTTCCGTGAAATAACGTATCACGAAATATTTATTATTACGTGGATAGATTATCTCGATAATTTAATAATGAGTACGCAAATTTTAACTCAAAGAAAGCAAAGTTGATGTTCGACTGAAATTTGTAAACTTCAAGGTCAACTTGAGGTCTCGATGCTACAACTGAATACGTAGTAATTTGCACGAGAAGTTTGAAAACATTATTCCGTTGCATTGTATTCACGTTTTGGAATAAATCTCAAATTATATCTGCCATATTTTTTCCATATTGCTGTAAATAAGAGACAAGTAAGTGTATTGTTTTGATGGTACAGCCTGTATGATAAAAATGTAAACTTTTAATCATCACATGTTACAACATGTGGAAGCACTTAGTCGGTATGTATTTACAGATTCTGTTAATTATGTCTGAACAAAAATCATGCTCAATGATGTATACTTTTCTTAGTTTCACTAAAACTAGTAAAAAGTAATTATTCCCAATACAAGTAAATTTCAAGCTATTATCAATCAAACGAGAACTTATTTTTTCGTACAAATAAACGAAATAATACAAACAGTATGTATCATTTACAGATTATTTAAGGAAAATAAACTTATTGTTAAATGTTCAGTATGTGTAAAAGATTCAGTAGACATATGTGTAAATAAGTACAATACATCTCATAAATGTACAGAAAATATTGTAGTGGAGCTTTATTGAGCTTGTAACATGTCATGTAACTTTACCTTGGCATGTTACTATTCATTTATACATGCTGTCTTAGTCATGTTTCAATGCACAGTATGTTGATTAAAAAGAAGTACATAGTAAGAATATAGTATTACATATTATAAGAGAATTTTTAAATGCAGAAAACGAACAAATTAATACGAAAATATATAAAATGATATATCTGGTAAAGGGAACAAAACCTTATTGTCGTAACCTTTATAGAAACTATTGATAATCAGATCTTTTCATAACCATTTGTACCCCACTTTCATGAGTTACAACTTGCTTAAAATGACGAGCATTAACAGATCTCATGTTTCAGTGACCATAAATATTAGTTCTAAATACTACGAAAAATTTCAATATAAAATTAACATGTTAATGTATGCAAAATCGCTACGGTATAACATTTGTAAAAGATAATACAACCTGGAAATTTCTACAAATAAGAATATAAACGTATAAATTATAATAAAACAATGTGCCTTACCTTGTCAAACGTTAATTAGTTTGTGCAAAACTTACATGTATTTTAGTAAAAAGTAGCCTGATGTGCTTCTCAAATGCATACGTATGCTTTCACAAAATTGTAAATATTTTTTTTTTTAAGTTATTTATTACAGTTACCGAGCATATAAGACTGCAGCAAATGATCGTAAAGTATTTTTGTCATCCAAATTATATACAGTACAGCTCTGGATCGATTACATTATTGGTACAAAAAAGTTAACAAAGTACAGTCTTATCTTAAATTCGGTCTATGTAAATAACAATCATTGACCCTTTGCACTCGAAAAACGACTCTCAGTTATCACCAAATTAATGTGACTTTTCCAATTCGGGAAAATGAGATCGAGATTTAAACACGAGGCAATTTTACAAGACTTAGTGTTTGAATTTCAAGCTCATTTGTCTGAATTAGGAAAATTACATCAGATTAGGCGGCGACCGAGAATTGTTTCCCCAATGCAAATAATTAAATGTACAAATCTTTGATGGGCTTATTTTAGTGGCTCTGATTCAACTTATGCACATGAAAAACTTAGTAATACGTGGTTAGTAAGGCTTATTGGTCCAATCTAGTAGCAATAGTTCCATCGGGGCAGTGATTAAACATTAAGAATTTCAAGTGATAACAAGCTTCTATTTTTTTTTGTTCAAATCTTAAATATTAGTTGATCGTGAAATATCAAGTTGTTCTTTTACAATTCAAATTCGATAATTCCAGATAATTTTTATATCTCTTGTTTACCACCAATACTTTTTATTAAAAAATAAAATATTTCGTGTTCATTTAGATTCAAATTAATAAATATATATAATTTACTTTTTACTCGACGAAATTATCGTACAATTAAATAAAATTTATTCTCGGTTTCACGTCTGCACGAGAAATCAATTAAATTAGAAATCTTAAAAATATTTTAAACAACAAAAAATCAGATTGTACTTTATGTCAATGAATTCAGATTTTCATTATTTTTTTTTCTTGTGGCCTTTTTGATTCTTCTGTTCGGTAAACGTCTTTTAAAACGCGATCAGTTCTTTATAATTAAATGGTGCGCATATTAAGATGATTCGAATGAGATATGTGCTACCAAACTGGGCATGACTGCGGAAAATAATAGTCCAGTAAATATTCCTGTAATGCATGATGCTGCACCAAACATACCAGCTGTTGCAGAATATTGGGAATCTACCATTCTGAAATTAGAATATGTAATTACGAATTTACGAAAATATTCATAGAAAAATGTATCTTCCTCTTCGTTGAGAAATTAACGAGCCTCACCTAGGACAATACATCATAGACAGCGATGAGAAATAGCCGCTACTTATACCCATTGTAACGGCAATCGCGAAATAAACCCAATCATTATTAATATACACAGGTAATACTCTTGTAGTATTGTTTGGTTGATAGTTACAGAATAAAAACAATGGTATGTACAAAATACGTAAAACGACTGGGATCACCAGATACCTTTTACTAGGCTACACAAATGGAAATAAAAATTAGGCAATTAAAAATATTTCTCGCGTATAAATTTGCTGGATCGAGAAATCAATAAAACGAGTCTGCATTTGTTACTCGAGCAGTGAAATTTAATATCCTTATCAAACGCACAAAATATTATACCTTCCCGACTGCAACGCTAGATTCGACGTGCATGCATTATTCTAGCGAAATTTAATATTCTTATCAAGTATACAACATATTAAACGTTCTCGACTGCAAGGCGAAAAGATACGCGAGAAAAGATTCCACGTGTACGTATTACTATCGTCTTGAATTTTATCGAAAGCGTTAAATAATATTGGCTATTTTAAATTAACGAAATCATTTTAAATATTATTTTAAAGACGACGGTAGGAAAGTTTAACATTTTGTTTATTTAATAATGATATTAAATTTCGCTGTTTGTATAACCCATTGAAGACTCGTGTTATCGAAACAATTACAGTAAAATCTCCGAACCCGCGGTTTGCTGCAAAAAAAAGAATACCAATTTGTTGATTGAGGCTTCTTTAAGAAGTTATTAACGTTTAAAGTTCCGCCTGTAGATAGGCAACCTGCGTACAGCTGCGCGTGATAGTGGTTCTTACTCAGCGCGAGAGACTCTACTCACTGACGTATCCAGAGCCTTACAGTTTTCTGCGTGAGAGCCACTATCGTGCGCGCGCAGCTGTTCTCAAGCCGCCGTTCTACAGGCGGAACTTTAAACTTTAATAACTTCTTAAAGAAGCCTCAATCAACAAATTGGTATTCTTGATTTTCGTCTTATTTTAGCCTCTAGAATCTCCCATTAAAATTTTTCCCAGGGGTAGCTGAACACTGTATACATAAAGTTTGCTACTATCCGCGAAAAGGCTTGAAACCGAAACCCGCGGATACAAAGGTTTCACTGTTTTGTGAATCAAGCATTTGATGAATAAATGCTTGAATAAATTTCGAATAAATTTACTCACCCACTGAACAAACGACGCGATAGAACTTCCGATCAGGGCGGTTACGTTAAATGTGAGGAAACACATAACGGTACTGTAATAATCCGTCGGGACTATAAAATTAACATCCGAATTCTTTATATCGGATTGAACAGAAGGGAAGAGACTAAGAGTTACGAAAAACACAAGAAACGTATTGAAGCATTGGGGAAAACATTGGCAGAATATTTTCCAATAAGGCGGCGTATCAGTTTTGCCTCTTGCACTATTTTCCAACTGTCTCTTATTAACTCCCTTCTGGTATAATAATTCACGATATCGATAAAACCTCTATAAACGACAACAATTAATATACGTTCCGTGTAATTCATGCTGGCGCTAAATTTATGAGATGAGTATATCTTACGTTTATTGGAAGTGCAAAATATGTGTCAAAACATGCAAGAAGAACGAACAGAGCCGTTATGAAGTAATATATTGCAGCAGTTCGGGCATTTGGTGCCATATATTGAGCAAGGAAGTTAATCAGAGCTGTGAATGTTCCACTTATATTCTGAAAATAGCGTGTAAATAACACATTTGCATCTGCATATCTTGTGTAAATGTTTTTATCGCAAGTTTAATTACCGAGCCTAAGACAACAGCTCCTGTGTACTTTATGGGTAACTTTGCAACCATACCATACACAGAATTTTGGTAGATTCCATTAGCGGCTGAAATAGATTTTTACAAATAAAACTACTGTACATACAAAGGAAAAATAATTAAAAAAAAAATTGAAAAATTGATAGCATTTTAAAAACGATAAAATGATCAATTGTAGAATGTTATTATAATTTGAAAAATCATACGACTTTTATGTCAAAAATTTTGAATAAACAAAATGTTTTACATCTTACTGTTTAATACAATAACAGAAGACATGGTGATCCAGAAAAAAATACCAGGCCAGCCAGAGCTATCAGTCATTGCCAAAATAACGGTACATACAAATATTAAAACTTGTATGAAGATGCCCCATACTATACGTGTTGTCAAATTCCCACTAAAAGTACAACACACATTTTAAACGTCAACATTGTCGTCTCGTGAGATTTAATTTAATCAGAAACTGCAATAATCTACCGAACGATGAAGACACTAGAGTCTATGTTCGTTGCGAGTACAAAAACGTTATGAAACGTTAAACGAGCGTTATTGAAAATACATACCCAAATTGTATAAATACATTTAACCAATTAAAGAGTAGATTCGGTATTTGCGATGCAAACCCTAACCAGGCGGGAAAATTTGTGGCATAGTTTGTATCAATTCCTGTATAGTCCTTAGATAATTTATAGTTAACAAAATACTGAAAAAAATGATTAATATAATCATAAATATGTGGTCTGTATAAAATTGGAAATTGAAGAAGCTAGAAAGCAAAAAAAAAAAAAGAAGAAAAAAAAGAATATATAAGGAAAACATAGTTTGAAGCTTCTTACATTTTTTGCTGTTATGAACATATTCCATGGCATCAAAGCACCGATTCCATGAAGTACCATTATACAGAACACTATATTTAATCTAAATTTATATATACAAACATTTTAGTACAAACAATTAAGGATATTAAAATATATTAATAAAGTAAGGAATAAAAGACTGGTTTTCCAATTTACATCTTTCCACTATGCTGGAAATACTATATGAGAATGACTGATCATCTATCAAGTACAATTTTAGATAAGTATTGCTTACCAAAGCACATTTTCTATTTTCTACGTTTGAACGCGTTTAAAAACGTGTAAATTGAAAATTTTATTTTTGATTCTCTTTATATTCCTATACTTTTGGTCAAATTTGTTTATCAATAGCACCTTTTCAAAAGTGCTAAAAATTTGGTACCTCTAATTGTTATCCAATATAACTTAAAGAAAAATATGTAAAAAATATAAACTAGTATTTACCTATCCCTGGGAGGATTCAATTCAAGGTCTGCTTGATCCATTGTTACTCCTTTGAAATTCAATTCGTCGTCAGGTCTACCTGTACCTTCCCATCCAGGGGAAAGCCGAACAGGTTCGGTACCTAAGATGAAAGATCCAGATCTTCTATATGATTTGCACAACGCTCGATATAAATTTAGTACTGCGTCAGTTAGAGATATACTAACAACACTTTAATGATGCTTCAATTGAAAGCAATTCATTAATTCAATGAAGACGACACGAACATTATACACATGCATTATATATACAGGGTGCATCCGAATAACATGTGCAAGCAGGCAAGAAGTGATTCCTTATGAAAAAATATATAGAAATATAAGTAATAAGATTTTTTAATTTTCGGATTTGTTTTCGAGATAATCAAGTTTGAAAACTGGTCGTGTATATCACGCGCTTTATATTACGCGATAAATAATGTGTTTATTTACAATGTTTACAGGATTTTTCTATTCTTATTAAAAATTATAGAACATTGTTTACGAACACGATAGATGCTATACGTTGTTTGCTAAATCGTATCTTACAATTAGCCGTAATTGCGTAAAATACTCGACCGATTTTCAATCTTGATTATATCGAAAACAAAGCCGATAATGAAAAAATTTCATTCCTCATATTTTTCTTATTTTTTTATAAGGAATTTCCTCTCTCCCGTTTGTACGTGTTATTCGGACGCACCCTGTATATACATGATTTCATATTGATACAATAAGCTTATGTAATGCAAAGCATGAATGCACACACTGCAAGAATATTTAACATTGGGAACATAAATAAAAAATTGCTTATACTTTAAAAGAGATGAAACATTAATTACCAGTTGGAACGTGAACCCTAAATGTACTATAGGAAGTTTTAACGTAACCTATGGAGAAGACATTCATACAAGGTTTGTTTTACTTGTATCCCATTTCGGTTTAAATTATACTCCTGTATAATATATACAACACTATGCTGTAAGCATGTAACACAATATAATGATACAAAATATTTTGTGCATACCAAAATTTTAATTAATGAAATCAAACAATGACTTTTTGTAATTTAATATCAACATGTTTTACCATTTAGCATAAAATAAGTATCTGCATTGTTTATTTAATTACATGTTCTTCTTGTTAAATATATCTATATTTCCTACATTTCTTTAAAAATTTGGGTACAAAATTCTGCATAGATTTGTATGTACAATTTGGTGTTCATTTGGAAAGTTACGATCAAATTACGCGCAAAAGGTAATATGAGTCACCAGAAAATAGAGATTGCAATCAAAGCAAGAGTTACAAGCTGCAAGTAATATTATTATGTTTTAATGCTAGAAAATAATGTCAAAAAACATATCTTGCGTTTATCTTTTCTTGTTATCTATTTCCTTATCTTTTCTAAGTTTTTCATCATTCAATTGATGTAATGGATATCCTTATAGAGATAGATAGATTTACATGCAGATAACGATACCTCAAGGTACTTCAAATTAAGAAAAACACTTCGAAATTTGAGATGTGTTGTATACATATACAAATTATTATACCTACAATCTATTAAAACATTATTAAAGAAATTAAATATATTTCTTATCGTTTCGTTGATAAATTTGATTAGATCATCAATTCTTTAAAAAAACAAAGAAGAAAAGCAAGTATTTGATGAATTTCACAAAATGAAGAAAGACAGCTGCCAAGCAATTTCAACATTCTCTTTATACAACATAACACTAATTTATATAATAATAATAAACAAACGAATTAAAAAATAAAATATAAAATAAATATCTATGATTACGATTTTTACGAATTATTTTCCAGATTTCAATTTACTAATTTGCGAGAAAAGCGTTTCGATTTTTATACTTATTCTTATTATCGCAAGTAATACTTAACATTTCATAATAAATATTCAATTCACACTGTTATTTACAAGAAAGTACTTGAATAAATCAATGTTACACTCTGAAACGTTTGGAGTCTATCACCAAAGATACACTGTGTAAATCTTCTCCGCCAAGGGACCGGTTTGGTCAAGTATTTGTAATGAAAATAAAAAAAAAAAAAAAAACAAAAACATTTCCGAGAAGGGTAGAATCCCCGTTATTTAAAATATAGAAGCGAGATTAAAACGATCACGGCTCGGGAAAGCGTAGAAAGAAAGCGACAGAGAGAAAATATCATATACCTTTCGTAGGTACGATGCGGGTCCCATTCGAATCTTTTAACAAAGTTTGTTCCTCGCTACCCACGCCGAATTCCTTCTTCGTGTAACTGCCAGCCATTTTTCCGCCGAGTTTTAAAACTTGAATTGAATTAAAGGCCGTGCAATATCGTAGGTTAATGTATTTCACGTGTCGGTCAGTCGTTGATAAATAATTCGTGGCTATTTCGTCTAAATGCGATTTCTGTTTTATCAGGTGGACGGGCAATCGTGAAGATTCAATTGATTGTTGAGAAACGTAGGTGCGAATGATATTTGATCAACATTTGTGGTGTCCTTCCAGTTACTCTCTTCGTGTTACCCTTCGCAAAAAATGGCTTTGCAACAACCTTTTATAGTATCACTGCATGATCCGGTGGTTAAGGCGTTGAGTTATGAATAGAACTGTTCCCCAATGTGCACGACGTACCATGTTTCTGCTTTATTTTTATAGGTTAAGATAAGACAGGGTTAGAGTTCGGCAATTCAGCTACCACGCTGCGCGGAGATTCACGAACTGATCCGAGGAAACACTACGGCCACCGCGCGCGCCTATGATATTTAAATCGGAGAAAGAGAAAAATCTCGTACGACGAATGACGGTTGATGCTATTTATATAATGGAGCAATTACTATTCCGTGGTCAACGCAATTAAACAGGTATTCTGTTATACATACGAAGGCGTTGTTTTTCCGTAGCTTGTAACTTCTCTTACAATGACATCACTTATACGGCTCTTAATTATCAATTACCGTGCATCATATCAAAGAAGTTTCGTACGACGTACGTGTATTCGATACATTCCCATAATATGATTAATGATCGTGCTTAAGAATTTTCGAAATATGTTAACTTCGATTTCCGTAAACTCGAAGAAACAATTGTCAGACATTTTAGAATTCCCGCAATTTGTCCCAATCTCAAGAATTTTAGAAAATATATGTTACACTTATATAGGTTATAATTCCGAGTTTTGTTGATAGTATCGTATTTTTAAAAAATTCTGATATTGCAGTTACTTCGTCGATCAGACTCACGATCCAGAAATAAAGCAATAAAGTTATATACCACGTGGTCCAAACAAAATGTATAAAGCTGTTTTCTCAGAAAACAATAAAAATATTAACTTCATTCTTTTTTTTAAATTGAATGGTTCAAGGAAGCTAATCTTTTCATGTGCAACAAATACATAGACATAAGTTTGGACTAAAACGTCATTGTATTATTTACATATATTTTTTTAACAATTATTTACAAGATTTTAATCAGCCCCACGTTTCAACCTGATATCGATTTTCGTTTTCTAATCGTTTAACAAAACTTTCTGCTTCTTTATCAGTTAGTTTTGTTATTTCTTTAACTAAATTGACGAATTCTTCGCGGACAGAATTTGGCATGTTTTTGGAATTACCTGCTAAATAAATATTACCATTTTTGCTAAGAAAATTCCAACATAGTTGTTTTTGATCTCGTATCACGTGTTGTACATATCTGAAATATTCATAAAGCTCAGTCGTATGAAAAATAAACGTACAATACCAAAGCACACAGATTTTAAAAATAATCTTACATTTTATGCGCTTGATCTCTAGAAAATGCACAGAACAGATTTAAATGTACTTTTTGCGACAAATACTCAAAATCATTTTTACAATGATAATCTTTTTCTTTGTTTCTGCAGCCAAAAAACAGGACACAATTACTTAAATCGTTGTGCAATGCTGATTTGTCTAATAATACTGATCGAAATGGTGTTACACCCGTGCCAGGACCAATAAGTATCATTGGTTTATCATATGCAAATTTAAATGTTCCCTTTTGTATCCAAAATATCATTCTATCGCCTTTTGTTAATGTTGCCAACCAGTTGGAGCACAAACCATATCTTGGTTCTAGCAACTTCGTTTTGTACTTCACTACAGCCACTAAGAGATGAATTTCATTCTCAGTGGCTCTTAAACTTGAAGCTATACTAAAGGCACGAGGTTTTATGGGAGACATAATCTCGAATAGTAGCTTTACATTTAATTTACTGGTTGTATGAGGAAAGTCTACGAACGTTTCTAAAATATTTCTTCTTGGTCTATTAATGTAATTATATAGTTCTTCTTGGCCACTCGAAGTTGTAAATTCATGGAACTTTTCCTTCTCCAATTCATTTTCACTAATAAAGAATAATATTTGCATGGTAGATCTCCGTGGTTTAAAATTTAAATCCCAATACTGTTCAACAATTTGTTGCAGAGTCAAAGTTTGTTTTAAAACAGTAGGCACTTTGACTTCTTTCTCTGATACTTGAATCTTCATATCCGGACTTAATTGTACATTATTACTATTTAATATGCTAAAAAATTTGTCAACTTGCTCTTTAGAATTTTTTGGTCTAACGTACACTACATCTCCAGGTTGATAATTAATATCATCTGATTTAAGTTTAATTAATCTAACATCCTGAAAATGATCTTCTGTGGTAGTTCTTTCGTTTTCAATCACTGTGCCTATTCTCATTTCATTGTTTGTAACTACTTCATTCATGTAAATATCATTATCTAAGTAATATCCATTGTCGACAGAATTTACATTTATCTCGGAAACATCGAATCTTTCAATTATTTTATCTAGATCATTAGTTAAATCCTGAGTAGAAATGTTAAATATATCATTAATCTTTGTCCATAATTCTTCTAGCCAAGGATCCACAACAGCATCTATTCCTAAATCATGTTGATCGTCCGCTAGTCCAATAGGTAGCAATTCCTCTGCTCCCAATTGCATCAACCTTTTGTTTAATTTTTTTGCCGCAAAATTGAACTTTTGGTACGAACTATCACCTAAGCCTAATATTCCATATTTCACATTAGCAAGCAATGTCGCGGGAAGACTTTTGCGCAGTAGAAGTCTCCAAAACTGTCCCATGTTACCAGGAGGATCTCCTTGGCCTGTTGTAGCAGCCACAAATACTACTATTTTTTCTGTGTCAAGATTTTGAATGTCATAGTCGTTCATTGCAGAGACTGTACTACGTAAACGTTTTCTGAAACGGAAATCGGAAATTAATTTATACGAGTGTATATTAAATCAAAACAATCTGCGTTCTTTGTATACAAAATAAAGGAAGGACAATGACAAAACCTTTTGGCACTTTTCCATATTTGTTCAGCTACGTCTTGAGCAGTGCCGGTTTCACTACCGTACAATATTGTGATCTTCATATTATTCATTTCAGTGTTCTATGCCGTATAAAACATTCGTGTAAAAATTTATTAGAATGAAATTGTGCCGTTTTGTAAATAACCATTACGCAAGTGATTTCCAGCTGATACAAAGTGACGTCATTGGTCGCTTAGCAGACGATATCTAGAAAAACGCAACTATTGTAAGCAGGGTACGTAAACTTTAAAGAAAAAAAAAAATGTTGTTTCCTTCCGCATTAGTTGTATGTGCATTGAGTACGGTGACAGTCATAGTCAATCAAATGTCAAGGATAAGTGTCTAGGCTAAGTCCCATTTGGCTTGTGGCCCGAGATATTTATAAATAAAAAATAGCTTTCCCTGTACGTTGCTTGAACGAATAGTTCTTAAGTGAACATTTTGCATATCTTAATCAACGTACCGAAGGAACACTTATTGAGTCTTGCACTTCAATAATTTGGCATATTCCTGAATACTGGACGTTACCGTACGTTCTCGAAATTGATATCAAAGTGTCAAGGGCAAGATAAAAAGAAGTGCGTGGTGTGACTTAAAAACCGGAAGCGGACATGGTACAATCAGTGTAACCATAATATGTAGCAATCGAGGAAGTTCGCTCGTTTTCGTGTGTTTCTAAGGTGATGATCGTTGGTGTGAGGATTCTGATCTCCTTCAAGGACGAGCTAATTTAAAGGAATGAACGGATAGGATTGTGGTTAACAGAATCGCGTGACGTAACTGCACGGAACGACGACTTTTACTAATGAAGTGGCTGTGCCGACTAAAATTGAGTTCAGTAATAAGCAACACGAGAAGAAAGGGATTTTCGCTTTGTCTGGTGTTTGCTAGTTAGAATTCGTCGGTTGAGTTAAACGCGGGAAAATTTGAATACAGAAGGATTTTCTATTTTAAAGAAATACTGTGAGAGAATTTTCGAGAATCGATTGTTGCTTGTAGCCCTCTGGTGATAAGTTTAGAAGGTGTCAATAATACTACGGCCCCCGAGCCCTATGGTAACGATATTTTAAATCAACATCCTTTTGTGCTTTTACGATATTCGGTTGATTTTTATTAGTGATTATGGTTTTCAACGTATATTTAAGACATACGCGTATACGTGTGCGTAGTTAGTATATTCGTGTTAACATCTGTGTATTATTTAATACATGGTTATTGAAATACACGTGTACCCGCCAAAATTGACCGTTATTCAGATAGGGAGTAGCAGATAAAATTTTATTTATTATTCGTTTATTCGTTACTCGATTATAATTTCAATTTTGACACGTGTACACGTGTATTTTAGATCTGCAGCAGATAGTTTCCCTGCTGATCGTTTAAAGATTAAAATGGCAGTTTTAGGATTCAGTGACGAGTATAGCAGGGATAATTCTTCATTGTCAATAATAGTGATCGGTCAGTTGATTTTTATCCGATTATAGTTGAAGACATCGATAAAGACTTATCTAGTAACCCCTATTTTACGTCTTATTAGATTTGGAGGCAATTAAATTAATATTCTTGGTTTAATCGATCGTACAAGGTACCCGAATAGGCGATTAACCGTTTAGAAACCCATTGTCATAATATTGTTCGTTTCTCGTAATTGTTTTAGTTTGGGGCCGACATATAATAGTTTGAAACCAGTTATTTTTAGAACCGTTTCCCAACCACTGCTTGTATTTGTCACGTTACTATTTGAAAAAATGTCAAGATATCCGTAAACAGTTATTACGATTAATAATTTACTCGACACGAGTGTAAAGTAATTAAGTGGTATTAAAGAGCTTGCGAGAATCAGTTGATGCTCGTAACCCTCTGACGACGAGTGTGGTAGGCATCGTCACATGACGTTGGCAGCACTGACATCTGTTTGCGGATAATTGTCAAAACCTACTTTCTCAGCGAAGTCCGCAGCTTTGCATGCCAGTTCGAAGGAAAATATCATGACTGCATTTGACTCCTAGAAGGGAAAGGGGCGCAAAGTGCAGCCGCAAGGAAAATCGCGCGTCTATTTTTCAAGGAGTGAGTGAGTGCAGAGAGAGGTTTCTCGTCTTGTTTCGTACGTCGCGTTTTACCCGTTCGACGAGTGACGTGCCTCGGGTCTTCGTCGGTGGGGAAGAAGTTTACTTCGATTCCAACGCGAGGAGAGAAGGCGCGGGCTTTCGTCCTCGCGGAAATTGATTTCATGACTGTGCCTTAACCTGCTCTCTTGTTTAAATGCGATTACAGTGGGCTGGCCGTAGTGTGTGATACCTTTGATCCCACGTCTGTTCACACGTCAGTTTCACAACGATCGGCCGATACATCGGTCACCGATGGAGCTTATTCGCGCGTGACAACAACTTTTGGGGCACCAGGTTCAATTTTTGCCAGGTAGCATATCTCTAGCGATCTATAAGCCGCACGGGATTCGCTTTGTTCCGTAAATCGTGTCTGCATTTCTCTTTGACGTGACGCTCGCGCGACATAAAAGCGCCAGAGGTCAGTCACATTTCAAACCTCTGTTACAGTTTGCCGCGTTTTGGTTTTGAAACGCTTAAAGTCTCGCCAAAGAATTCTATATCATGCTTAGTTGGAAATGCTCGTTCGCATACTGTCGTCGTTTTTATGTCTATGTTATTTATACGCCCGATCCGAATCTGCGATGTAAATAAATAGGCTCTTTTAACGAGTATCTCGTTTTGCGTCGTCCGCGAACGTAAATATGTTAAGGTTACAATACTATGTGTATTAATGAAATTAACGTTTGTTCTTCTTTAACGGCACACGTATTTATTTGTATACGCCTGTTTTTCGTCGATTTCATACCTCCTCTTTTTTTTTCTTTTCAGATTTTGGTAGCTGTCTACATTCACATTACTGTGGCAGCTTTTATTTTCTTATATCCAATCGACATGTTTACCACATGACATAAACTTCATTCTATGATTAACGAATAGTATCATCAATGTTTATGGAAATTACCTCCGCGCCACATTTTACGACAAAAAATATGCAAAATTCTGTTATTATAAGTACCGATAATTTGTCAGATATTTAATGTAACTTTCAACTCTATCTCCATGCTTTATAAATACATTTGATTTGAGAGTCGGTACTACACTGTTTATGCGTTAGAAACAATAGAGTTTTTCACGATAAAGGGCCATACAGAGAAAATGAATAACAGGATCGATGAACAGGAGTCGAAATGGACCTGTGAATATTGTACATACGAAAATTGGCCTTCATCTTTGAAATGCACAATGTGCAGGGGTGCCAAACCTTTATTAGGTGAGGACATTTATCGTCTTCGAGATCAGAGTCCGCAACGCTCTGGATCAAATGTTGCATCTGGTCCAGTAACTCATTTAAGTCCTACGGATTCTTATAATCTTAGTCCTCAAAACTATAGTCAAAATGTACCGTCGGGTGGAAAGTGGGCTTGTGCAATGTGTACCTACCTTAACTATCAAAATACCACACGTTGTGTTCAGTGTGGAAATAAAAAATCTATTAAAGGTCTTAATCAGTCGATACACTCCATAGCCTCGAATTTGCACGAGCATCTAGCACCCCTCAGGTTAGGAGATCCGCCACCAAATTCAGGATCTAATCCACCTCCGATAAATTTACATCCAGAAAAATATTACAATATACAAACTAATTTACATCCCGAGAAGTGGTCTTGTATTGTGTGTACTTACGAAAATTGGCCAAAAGCCACTAAGTGTGTGATGTGTGGTAATCCTAAAGAAAAGGACAAACGGGATAAAACACCTAATAACATGGGCGTTATTTTGCCGAGTCCGGAAAAGGATCATAATCAGCGTACCTTGTCGTCTCCACCGCACGCACCGTATATTCATCAAACCCAGAGAGACGAGAACATGGCTGTAGGACGAAGGTAAATGTACTTTACGATTTTTTTTGACATCATGTATGATAGCTTTGTACAACGGTATAATCTTTATTCAGACGCGTCATTAGTATTTTTATATTGTAGGAGTTCGCATAGATATCCTGACAGCAGAAACGACAGTTTGTCGACTCCTCAATCCCCAAATAATTGCGACTACGAGCGTAGAGTGAAACAATTAAGACGTCATACCGATTGGTGCTGGTTAAATGCATGTCTCGGCATTGTAGAAGGTGACAATGCTCCCGTCGAAGCTTATTTGGCAAGTGGCGGCGATCCTGCTCGTCAATTGACGCATTCGGAAGTTCTGCTTCTAAATAGAAGTAGCGCTTTTGATGTCGGACATACTCTAGTACACTTAGCTATTAGGTCAGTGGAAAATAATTTTTGACGAACGATTTCTTTAATATTTTCTTTGGCTGTGTTTCAACTTGTTCGTTATATACGTAGCGCAATAAAAGTTACCGTATATTATATAGTATACAGTATTATTGTGCTAGAAAGACAAAATTTTCCAAGCACTTCTTACTCAATTTGTCATAACTTTGACAGATTTCAAAGAGAAGATATTCTAGCGACATTATTATCACAAATTGAAGGTTCTGGTTCTGGAATAAAAAGGGTACCAAGCTATGTTGCACCAGATTTGGCTGCTCAAGTACGCAGACACGTCACCAATAGTATCCGATTGCGCAAGGGTTCTTTTCCATGTTATTTTGTCACTGACATAGCTACATTCGCTTTGCCTGCCGAGGTTACTATAACATTATAATTCTTATTTCGGGGTATTGTAGTTTATTAAAACTATTAATTTCTTGACGTAATGTAAATTATGCGTATCACACGGAAATCTAAGTGTAGAATTAATTCGTCAGGTTGAAGATTTACCAAGCATCGTGCAAGAGCAAATGTTAGAAGAGTTATTAGATAAAGAGGCTCAACAACAATTAGAAGGTGGGGATGGAGAACCACCAGCGCTGAATTGGTCTTTAGAAATTACCGAGCGCTTAGGAAGTCGCTTACATGCACTTTGGAATAGATCTGCTGGAGATTGTTTGTTAGATTCAGCAATGCAAGCTACTTGGGGTGTTTTCGACCGAGATAACGCTTTAAGAAGAGCTCTCGCCGATTCTTTACAACAAGCTGGTCAATTGTGAGTAATTTCCGCAATTAACAACTAATGTTATTTCGAGAATCGATTAATTATATCTGATTTCATTATTACAGTTTCTACCCTCGATGGAGGGAATACGAAGCGTCGCAAGCATCTAGAATGTTAGATTTTACATTAGAAGAAACTCAGTGGCAAGAAGATTGGGAAAGCTTGTTAGCAACAGCTGCTCAGCCGGGAAGCGCGTTGGAACAGTTGCACGTGTTTGCTCTTGCTCATATTTTAAGGAGACCTATTATTGTTTATGGTGTTAAATATGTTAAAAGTTTTCGGGGCGAAGACATAGGTAGGTTGTTGCACGTAATCTGTGCCTTAATTAATCGTTACGCGACTAAATAATCTTTTTTTTTTGTTATAGGTTACGCAAGATTTGAAGGTGTTTATCTTCCACTCTTATGGGAACCCTCGTTTTGTATCCGATCGCCTATTGCTTTAGGTTACACACGTGGTCATTTCACGGCTCTAGTTCCCATCGAACCATACACGTCATCTAGAATACCACCCATTTCATCTCACGGTGGTGTAGGTTTAGGCGGTGGCAACGGTCCACTTCAGCAGTTGCAAATACAAATGCAAACAACATTCATGCCGTTAATGGACCGTGAACACAAACTCTTACCAATACATTTTCTGAGTCCAGAGGAAGTTGGCCGAGAGGAATCTATTTTAAAGGAATGGCTCGACGTGTGTAGGACCGAAGGTGGTGTACTTGTTGCGCAACAAAAACTTCACAAGAGACCTTTACTCGTAGCACAAATGTTGGAAGAATGGTTAAATCATTATCGACGGCTCGCGTAAGTATAGTTTCTGTATCTAAACTATATTTACCGGATGTCTTACAACCGACTTTTCTACTTAATCTTGCGATTAAGGAGGTAGTCTCATGTGTTGGGTCAAAGTCGACTTTTTTTTTGTTGGTACTTTCGTTAAAGCAGTTTATGTAATTGGGTAGGTTCATGTAATAGGAGTCCACGGATTATTTTCGTTACTTCTAACCTCTCATTTAAATCCTTGTGAACTTTGAAATGACTTGCGAGGACATTAATTTGATACGAAGCTTATTAAATAAGTTCTTTATTCGAAAGAGTAAAAATAACAACTATAAATATTTTTTATTATTGAATATATATTAATTAGTAAATATATACTGTACGTTTTGTGAATTATAAATAGAATTAAGGGGCTTTACGAATCCCTTAATTCACGATACTTGAAATCTTACAAACATTGAAGATTAATTTTATTTGTTTCCCACTGTGGTTTCAACAATTTAATAATGTGTTTGGGAAGTCCCCATTTCCCATGTTTTCTAGGACATAGCAAATATCTTTGTCTTGTCTCTTGAATTTTTATTGATTTAAAGATTCTTTTAAATATAAGTGCGTTAATAAAGTAAATATATAAAAGAAGAAGAATATTCACGACAGGAGTGGTTAGCATATTTTCGGTTTTGTAAAGAAAACAAGTTCATGGAGCGACAGAAATAGATCGAAAAAGATCAAGATCGCAAGGTTTACATCCACGAAGACAGAAAAACGTATTTTTAGAGAAAATCAACATACCGCCGGACAAGATACGCAAGCTTTGTTTCCTAAAAACGACGAGGAACTTGCTATCGATCAAACCCATGCGATATCGATCGACGCTAGAGAAATTTTGAAATAAATCGTCGTATTGTTCTCGCAATGAAATTTCATTAGGAGTTGTTGATTGGAAAGTGTTAATTTATTTTGAAGAATCAATACTATTCAAGCCATGTATGAATTTTTGATGAACGAGGCAGTCGAGGAAGAAAATGAGTGCAACTGATTGTGTCTGGAGACTGTATGAAGGAAAAGAAGGATTTACTTCGCGTTCAGAGTCGCAACTTTGATTAAAAAATACAGTAATAAGCTGATACTTATGAAGTGGAATGTTGATGCTGTTGAAGGAATGCTTGACATGACTGGAGGATGAATGATGACTGTTGTATATGAAACTAATCGCGTAGATGTGAAAATGAAAGAGTGTGAACGTGTGGAAAATTGAATGGGAATAAAAAAATAAGAATCGGAAATTTGAATTTAATCGTATGATGATTAACCTTGCAGTCAAACGAACAATGCACCCTTCTTGAGACCAGCCGTATTGCAAGATTACAGTAGCGACGGCGACACGGAAGACGAATAACGAGGTGTAACCGGTTAAGTTACTAAATTTACACGAGAAGACTTTTCTCCGTAATTTCATTGTTGCCGCAATATCCATAAACGCAAGATCTCGAAGATATGTAATTTTCTGAATGTGGACAGGGAATGTGTACAGATGTTACGACTCACTAATTTTCATTGGCAATATATTATTTTTTCCGTATAAATTTTGTACATTAATATTGGTCAGCGAAACCGTTGAATATTCGAAATCTTATTGATCCGTACTATTAATTATATCGCATGTTTATGAATTAATATGAGTATTTGTTGTATTAATTTATTATTAATCGTATATATATATATATATATATATATATATATATATATATTATATATATAATATATATATATATTAATTGGACTATTAATTATTATAGCCAAAGTACGATTCCGCGTCATAGGCAGCGAGTTAACAAATTTAACTTTTGTTACGGCTGAAAGTGCTTTAACCTTGGTTAGTTGTTATTTCATAAGTTCGATATGCTGCTGCAAAAAAAAAAAATACGGCTCTGTACTATATAGACGATATTTAATTTTAATTTTCGTAATAGTACGTTTATAACGAGGCAGTTATATTAAATGTTGTTGAAAAATATAGTGTGAATTTTTGCCAGTTTCGGATTGCGAATCCACGGCGATGGAAATACTGGTGAATGGAAATTTAGGTGTTAAATTAATATATAATCAAATTCCAATGCAAGAATTCGTTGGGCATACTGACCGCTTTCGGAAAATATCTTTGGAGATTGAAAACATTATTCCGTCTTTGGAAACCGAACAAAAAATGTTTAATATATTTTGTATAAAGTTTTCAAGTGAATTTTCGCTCCCATTTAACGCAAATAAATCTAAAATAAAGTTCGTGAAATTTAGGACATAACCTTAGTGTCCAACACACGCGGAATATAAATTTAAAAATGGCCGCGCATCTAGGAAACATGAAAACAACTTCAGAATTGATTATTCGCCCCTGTGTGTATCGAGATTATTTTAGGTTTATTTGTACCGAACGCGATTGAAAATTTAGCCTAAAACGTTATACGAACCACGTTAAATAAAAGACTGAATAATGTTATTTATCTTTAAAGTTGGTTGTTTGTATATCGATAGAAAGATTTCTTCTGCGGAGGAGGCATGTCGATGCGTTGTATTCGTGGCGATAGAGAAATTAGGGACAAAAGAATTCTCGATTGTTAGTCGTGAAAAAAGAAAGGAAAAAAAAAAATTATTTGTTTTCGGAGGTAGCATAATTATAAGAGTTTATGGAGACCGTCTGGTCGATCGCACTCTTCGTCTGATCCGAGTGTGATAAGTACTTGGAAAACTCTGGTACAGACCATGTGATTTTTAAAGATAGTAAATAAGGACTGGAAAACATTCTGTAATCGTCTTTGAATCACTTGTTAACTTCGAGCTGTGTTAATTAGCGTAAACGCGAAATTACAACGACACATTTCTCTGGCCGGTGGGACAGGGGAGGCGGAGTATTGTGTTTTCTCTGTGGCCACTTCCGGTGCATTGATGTAACGATAACAATGGTACCGGTTAAAGCGTACTTTCTTTTCGCGCGATATGAGGAAACGAGTGAAGAAGCGAGACCAACATGGCGCGCCGAGTGGTTTGGATCGCGCAGGGATCTGCGGTCCTCGCGATCGCAGGAGTGCTAGAACTTTTATAAAAGAAACAAAAAAAAACAACGAAAAAAAAAGCGATGGTCGAGGGCGGAGAAACAAGTAGCACTGTTCAAGCACCAGAATTTACGCGTGGTATACACACTGTATTCGCGAACGGACAAAGATATGCAGTAACTGGCTCGGCCAAACGATAAACCCTAATCAAAAAAGTACAAAAAATCGTAAGAGGGGAAAAAAAAACCTGTTTGTTTACGAACGTGTTACATGGGTCGCTTAACATTTAGTCTTCGTTTTTACTAATTCTAATGTAGCTTCTAGTCCTTTTTAGCACCGTCGTTTTTTCTAATCACACGTGGCATGTGATTTAATTGCGTGATTACCGAAGGGCTCGATAATGTTCATATAGGGAAATATTCAAGTCAATTCCAAAATGTTTTAACAGTACTGGCGCCGTGTCGGGAGATTGAGAATCGATGATGTCGCTATTGTTGTACTTTCTTTTTTTTTTCCTTGTATTTTTCTTTTTCTCGTTTTATGTATAATTTTTCGTATGCACGACTCGCGGGGGGCCCGTGCGTTGCCTTTGTGATCGGCGATAGATCAACGTTCTCGGACACGGCGCGCGCAGAATTAAATTGTAAATGTGACGGACACGCTATGGTGGTGTATATTCTTTCCCCGTTAAATAAGTGTTTCTCGCTCGTGTTGCCAGAATTAACTCGGCAGGTGATAAAACAAAAAAAATTATAAAGATTTAAGAATTTAATTGAATCAGATAGAAGTCTATATTAATATAGAATATATAAAATAGATTATATTAAATAATATATCGATGTACAATAATTCTAAATGACGATTTATTATTATTATAATTACTATGATTATTATTATTATTATATTATATTATATTATTATCAGCAACATTATTAAACCTACAAATAAGAAGTATCGAGGTGGATGAATGAAATTTAAGTTACTTCACGCCCTTCGAAACACCGATCCTGATGGTCACAAGTGAAAATAGATTAAATCGACAGTACGTGTTTGAGATCTGTAATCGAACCATCCAGTTGATTCTTCGACGTAGACGTACATATAAGACTCGAACGATGTAACTTCGTTTAATAGTGAAATTCTTTGTTTCGTGGCTGAAGCCTATGAACACCTGCCAGATTGAGGGATCAATTCCAATGGTACCACCATGAATAATCCGTGTAACGGAATTTTGTATTTTAACGTTTCGTTCCTCTTTTTACAGAGTATACAACATTGTACCAAATCTTATATTGTATAAAGTATCATTATGGGTATCGTTTGTTTACACGTCCGTTGGTTAAACACAGCTTTTTCAATTATGTATGTTGCCTGGATCGGCCGAATCGTTTTCTGGGGGGAAAAAATTGCTCCCAAGCAGCATGACCCTTGGTTAACTGTAACGTCGAAAAAGAAAAGACAATCCACGACACACGCTCCGCGTCATCTAATCGATGTATATTACGTAAGGCAATCAAAGACTTACGTAAAGCAAGTATTAAGTCCAACGAAACGTTCTCAATCCGTCTTTTGTAATTTACGTTATTTCGCTACGACGAACTCTTATACTTTACTTGGAATTTAAGTTTTTCAAACGGAAATTTCGTTCTTGTATCGCGTAGCAGTCAGAAGAATGCAATTGCAAACAGTTAACGAGGCATTGAATGGTCGCAAATTGTAGTAGCTGGAACGCTTAACGACGAGAGATGCGTTAATACTATAAATCACGTTTCCGGATTGTTTTGACAGTATCTACTTAAATTGAATTATTTAAAAATGTCATCCGAATTATGTTTTATCGTCGATCGTCTCAGTTAAAGTTTCATTTCGATATTTAGTATCATTGCCAATATAATTAAAGAAACTAATTAGAAAGATGATTCTCAAGCTTTTCTTGTGCGGCTTCGTTAGAATGAAGTCCCAACGATTAATCGTATAAATACTAATTGCAAATTTTATAACAAATTGTATATAAATTACAAATAGTGAAAACAATGCCACCTTTATTTTAACATTTGGTGCTTTATCATACACATAATTGGCAACATATTGTATTACTATTATGTCTTGTAACAGAGTAAGCTTTTCGAGTATTATGCTCTTAATTACCCTTATCGAGTGTACTGAGAACGTATTTAAGAGAACACTTTACGCCATTTAAAATTTATAGTTGTCCGAGGAAATTTGCAATTTCAATTTCCTTGGAAAAAGCTGCTGTGATTCCTTTGTGTTATATTACCATATAAATATATATGTAAATAGAGTTTATCTTATGGAATTACTGGAATACAGGAGCACTTAATAAACTGCATAACAATAAATCTTAACACATAGAAACTTGTTACTTTTCAATTGTCCATTTAACATCAATTTACATTTGTATTCTAATATCTGCTAAATTATTTTATTAGTATAAACTATAATTGTAAGTACATCCTTCCAAACTCCTTGTGGTGTGAACAAGCCTCTAAGAACCTGTTAGCTACAAGCTTCCTTGATTCCTTGTAACATAGTGATTTTTATGTCAGCTTTGCGTTATGCAATCTTAAATGACTCAGAGAATGAGCTCGATCAAATGTATACATATTTTACAGAATTTTAATAAATTTCTAATATCAAGAGATGCTTTCATTGCATGCACACAAATTTTAGTGTCTATGATTTATAGCTTAATAAAATACCGTTGTTTGTGCCACACCATTGGCGATACCGGTATATCGTTATAGTAAGTATTATATTTATATTATTACGTTGTGCAAATCCATTATAGTGTGATTAATTTAGCAATAGAGATTATTAATGTTCTATGCCCTGCTTGAGCTTATTGAAAGTTTATTAATCAATTAATTTCCAGAAATCTACATCTTGATGATTCTTCATCGTGATCGATGGATTGGTAATTTTTACGATCCGTTCATCGATCGATCGGGAAAGTAATGAAGTAATCAAATCCTGGCCAAGTTCGTAACGAAGCAGTCGGTCTTTCTATGCTCGCCAATCAGGCACCCACTTCTCGAATGCTGTTTCCTAATTCAGAGTGGCTCTGGAGACTCTCGTAATTACTGTCGTTTTAATGATGGCCCATCGTTCACACCGGCGACCCAATTTCTGAGTGGTTTTCGGTTCGCTCCTCGGCCGTCCTTCTCTCTTCTTCCCAACTAATGGGACAATTCACTCTGTTTTTCACACGCCGGGAAATCCCGTTCGATTGGTATGCACGCCGAGTTTTCCGTGGGCGTTTTGTCGCTCGAGTATGCCCGAGACTGTTTAATTACCACGATAGTTAACACCTTGCCCTCGGCCCACTTTTCCCCCTCGTTGACAGTAAACTTGACTGTTGCGTATACGTCATACTTAATCTTGGCCCGACGATCGAAGACATTTCACGCGACGAGACTTCATTCACCAGCTTAGGGATGCTAGGTAGCAACAGTTGATTCGAAATTTTGCTAGAGAAAATTCTATCTGTCCCTCAAGTTGTCACACACCACTTTATTCATCTCGATTAAGATAACTGTTTTAGTTTAATTCTGTGGAAAGAGATATACGTTA